TTCTTAAAGGATTAGTCACCTGTCGAAGTGAGTATTCTTCACCTAGTTCCACTACCAATGCTGTGACTCACTACCAACTTATGTGCGATTGACAGCTGTCAACCATTGAAACATCCATAAACACGTATGGCCTATACGATTACATAGTTCAAAGATAGATAGGCATATCGATCGTTCATACACCTTGGTTAAAGTACAATCTTCAATGCGTAATTTCAATGTCACTAGAGAAATGGTTACAACATAAAAAGTTACTAGACAAATCCAGAGAAAGTTACTATAACGGTGATCATTCAAAAATAAAAGTTACTACAAAAAGAACATAAAGAGTTATAAAAAATAAGAATACAATACACGATAAGATTTTATTTAACTCAAAAGAAAAACTTTTTTTTAAAATAATTTGAGAATTTACAAAATTGAAAAAAAAATAAACTTTAATTTATTAGTTCATATTGAAATGAAAAAAATAAATTGCAAAATAAGAAATTTTAAAAAAATAATGACGATTAATAGGAAATTTATTTTATTTAATATTTAAATTTTAACTTATAAAAATTTAAATTAAAAGAAAGAAAATAATTCAAAGAATATGATTTATAGAAAATATTATAAACACTCGTATTAATAGGTGTATCGTTTATTTATTTAATCGATCTGATCGCAGATATAGTTTCTTCATTCATTATACTTCATCTTTTTTTCATAAGTTAATTACAAGTATTCATCGTCATCTATAATCTAGAAGGGTATAGGGATAAAGTTATAGGTAATTTTTTTCACAGTATTGACTCTATTACATACGCTAATCAGATAGCTAAAGTGTTCGTATCTACAAATATATCTTATATTTGTTTTATATACATATACATATATACACATATATATAGAATCTGTATATGTGCATATCTATATATACATATATTCGCTTTATAACACATCTTCCCGTAATTTCTTTTCCTTCTTTATATTTACTCATTTGACATTTGCTCTTCAACATTATTTAATTAACTTTCATATACGGGAAGTATATATCGCTTGTTTTCTTACGTTTCCATATTTTTTTCTTTTTTTTTCTTTTTCTTTATGTTTGTTTTTTCATTTTTTGTAACTCGAACTCTAAAGTTGTGTATGTATGTATGTATGTATGTGTATGTGAGGAGATAAAATTAAATGGTATCGCCACGAGCGAGGGTAG